CGGGTTTTTTCTGTTAATGCTGTTATGATAATCTGAAGGGCGAGCAAGGCACTTTCTCTCTGTGACTCAGCAGGAAGTGATGTAAGCCCACAGGTGTGGATAGCTCGGGTGTACAGAGGTGCACCCTGTTCAGAGGCTGACCTCAGATCTGTGTCTCTGCAGCGTCCGAGGCGTCGGAGAGAGACATCTACATGCGCTTCATGAAGTGCCACAAGTGCTACGACATCATCCCCACCAGCTCCAAGCTGGTGGTGTTCGACACCACGCTGCAGGTGAGACGCCGGGGCGGCACGCCACACACTTTAATCAGTGTGTGTGAGCAGAGACACGCCCACACGGCCATCAGTGACTGGTTATTGGTTATTGGACTGTCGCTGATTATCGGTCCGGTCTGTCTTCCTGCTGTTTCAGGTGAAGAAGGCGTTCTTCGCTCTGGTGGCCAACGGCGTGCGAGCCGCTCCGCTGTGGGAGAGCAAGAAGCAAAGCTTTGTGGGTAAGATTCACAGCAACACACACCACCTTTCAAAATAAAAGCGTCTTTGTGAAAATAATAATCTTTGGATGGACCCAGAAAACGGTCAGCTCAGTGACCTCACTTCCTGTACGTGAATAAAACCCGAGTAATGAACTGAATGAATCACCTGATCATACCTGAGGTCACATCCTGCATGTGCGCTCGAGACAGGAAGTGCATCCACGCTTTCAGCAGTAATTCGTGAAACCATTTATGCTGGTCAATAATTTCCTCACCTGTGGACAAGCTCCGCCCCCAGTCGGAGGTGCTCACTCAGGACTGGCAACCAGTGGGCGGAGGCCGAGATGGCAGAGCCAGTGTGTGAGCGACAGCGTGACACTCATCGGCAGGTGGAGTCACCTGACTCACCTGTGGTTACCTTCAGAGGAAACACCCACACACACACACACACACTCGTTTTCATATCTTAGTGGGGACATCTGATTATTGTCCCTCCCTCTGAGCCTAACCATAACCTAACTGTAACCCGACACTACAGCCACACAAATGTAGCCACACCCCTGAGGATGGGCTGTTGTTCCCTGCTGGAGTTGATTCGTGGATCTCTGTGTTTCAGGAATGTTGACCATCACTGACTTCATCAACATCCTCACCAGATACTACAAGTCCCCCATGGTAACACACACACACACACACTCAGTCACATGTGCAGCTCTGTGATTTCCTGCTGACGTCTCAGAGATGGACAGATCTCCGCCTGCAGCCAGCAGGTCTGAGCTCACGGTTGAACCTGTGCAGGTTCTTCTGTCGTTCTCAGAGCTGCGAGCGCGTTCAGGCTCTGTGAGGGTCAAGAAAGGTTAACGAAGCTTTATTACACCTGTGAGCTTCCATTCATCCCAACCTGATCGCAGGAGGGGCGAGGATCAGCCTTTCTTTATACAAATCACTGAATGTGCAATGATTACCCCAACTCACCTGAAACCCGACACCCACTCGCGCCTCCGTCCATGTCCGAGCACACTCACCTCTCTGAGGCATCCAGGTGCGACTCTAACGCCCGTCTGTGTCCACAGGTGCAGATCTACGAGCTGGAGGAGCACAAAATCGAGACGTGGAGAGGTACGAGCTCTTTGTGTTCTTCTTTGTGAGCTGTCACGTGACGGGCCGATCTAATAATAACACCTGTGCCACGCCCACAGAGCTCTACCTGCAGGAGACCTTCAAGCCTCTGGTCCACATCTCACCTGATGCCAGGTACCTGACAAAGAGGACAGTCAGAGTGCGAGTCAGACAGAAACACGAGTGTGTGTGTGACGTATCCTGGCACAGAGCTCAGACTGAATAATTAATGATGAGCCCAGAATAGACTGAAGAAGACGAGGGAGGGGGCACAAGAGGAGGCAAGGGAAGGAAATAAGGCACAGAAATGATAGGAGAGGAAGGGAACATGAAAGGAAAGGAGGAGAGGGAAGTGAAGTAAAAGTAGGACGAGAGGAGGAGGAGATGAGGAGGAGCAGCGTGTGACTCGTGTGTGTCCTCGCAGCGTGTTCGAGGCCGTGCACTCGCTCATCAAGAACAAGATCCACCGCCTGCCCGTCATCGACCCGGTCAGCGG